CGCGGGCGAGGATGGGGTCCGGTTCCCCCGGGCGACCCCGAGTGGATTTCCACGCGGAAAGGATGTTGGCGGCCCCGGTGACACGGCTTGGACCCACCTTCCCGTAAGTTAGACTCTTGTCCTCTGCGTTTCTGGAACTCGTGAGCCTCGGGGCCTTGCGGGTAGGGATGCTCAGTGAGTAGCTGAGCGGAGGAAGGGGCTTCGGGTTCACACGTGTGTGGATCGTGCGCTTTCCTCATCACCGGACTCTAGACGGGCGTTTGGGGAGAGGGGGAGGGGTGGAGGGTGACATCGAATGCCCGGTGCAGAGAGATAATTCTGGATTGTATGCACTTGATCCAGGGCTTATTGCCTCCTCTCTAAAAATAGACCATCTCCAATCAGAACCGAGGTGGGGTCACAGGTGTGGTTTGGAGGACCCCCTTGTGGAACTAGAAGCCTGGCACCCATATGATGCTCCCTCCATCCTCTGACCATCTTCTCCCGCCCCCTCTCCCCCAAGGTGATCTCCGAACACTCTGCAACTCCGTTCTTTGAAACTTTTGCAGTGTATTTCCAGATTTCCCGAGCGCCCCTTATCGTGGTGCTTCTTTTGGATGGGCTGTTGATTTAATTAGCTGTGCCCTCCCTCCGCTAATGTGCTCTTATTTATGCCAGTGTTTGCGGTCGGGTGTAGACTTTCAGGAAGGGCAGCCATGAGGCTGCATGTGTCCGGTGCGTGGATACACCACGAATTTTCCGATGGTTTGCAGGCGGGGGATATTCTTCTGTATACTCGAGCCCCTGACTTCAGGCCCCTCTAGAAGATGAGTTTTTAGGGAGAAGGGGAGGAGGTTCTGGTGGTTTCTCCTGGTCTTATATTTCCCAGAGAGAGGGTGGCAGCCTCCTCTCACCCACCTCACCACCACAGTTAGTCCTGGCTACTGGGGCTGTTTTGTTGTTGGAGGAAACCATGGAGAAAAGCCTGTTTGTGTGTGGTGGGTGGGCGGGGGCCCTGGGGACACAGGGACTGTATCGGCTTTGCTGTTGGTTACTGGATGATGCAGGCCTATTTTGCATACTGGCTGTGACAAGTTGAGGCTTGTTCACTTGACACAGTCCTGTGGTCACAGTGAATCTTCCTAAGGCTCCCACCAGTGAAATAGGGGTTGTATGGATCCTCTGAACCCGGAGTGGAACTTCCTGAAAGATTTATTAGGAGAAAAACCTCCCTGGGAGCAGCAGGAAAAACAATCCCTGGCTGGGCAGAGCCTCGTGGCCTGGTCTCCACTGTCTGAGAGGAGTTACATCGTGAAGGTAAGGACTGCCTCGTGGCCTAAGGCACTGGCAAGAGGGCTGGGCTGGAATTCCACGTGTGAGTCTGGGGATGGAAAGGCCGGGTGGGTCCAGTGCCTACCCTAAGGCTGTACCCGCTAACCCCAGAGGCCATTTGCTGTGTGGTCACATTGCTGTTTTGCCGGGTACTGGTGACTTTCTGTTGTTATTGTTGCTTTACCTACTTTGAGTGCAGAATTTTGCATAGAGCAGGCTTCTCTTGAGAAGTAAATCAGTTTCTTTTTCTTATTGATTTTCCTCTCCCCTCCCCCGCTCCCCTATGCTGTCGGGTGTGCTCTTCTGCTCCTGGCCGGAGCTTTTCTGGGCTGGAAAGAGGGAGATTTTTCTTGGTTCCGGAATTTCTGACCCCCGATGGTTCGTGTAGTTGCTGGTCCAAAGACCTGGCGAATATCACTGTCCCCATCCCGTCAGTCCCTTGTGCTTTTAGTTTTTACTCTCCTGATGGCAGGAAGACTGGCTGGCTGGGTTTGGGAGCCCATCCTCACCATGCCCAGAGCCTCTGCCTGCCCAGGATGGACACCGTGCTCGGACGGCTCAGCTAAGGGGTCTCCCAGATGAGAAGACACCTTTCTTTCTTTCTCTTTGTGTGAGTGTGCCTGAATTTGGTCGGACCAAAGGCAGATCAAACCCTTTCCTGGGGAAGTGAGGACCTTGGATAGTTGCCTGGTCTGGTCCCTATTCCTTGGAGAGGTGGCTGCTGGCCTGTTTGCTTCACGGTGTGTGTTTTTGATGTTAGATACCCTCCTGGACACTAGGGCTTTTTATTTTGTATTTCCTTTCATAGTTCGGTATAAATATGGCACTCTCCCTATTTTTTTTTTTTCTCCTGATGCTGGGTTGTGATCTCTGTAAGAGACCAAGAGCCCTATCTTTATACACCCAGTGTCTGCTGGGCACCCTGACCCTACAATGGGAACAGAGCAATAATCTAGAATAATTCTGACCATGGTGGGCCCCGTTGATGGTCCCTCCTACACCTTCCCTTAAAAACCTCAGAAATTCTAAGCCTTACAGGCCTGGAATGCATTCTTTCATGGTGCCTCCTCTGTCTCCTCTGTTTTTCTGGCCCCAAGTAACTAATGACAGTACTAGTAATTAATAACAATAACAATAATAGTAGTAGCCCCTATAATAACATTGAAATAGTATATCATGCCAAGTATATGTTCGTTGCAGTTTATGCTCCCTAGAACCCCACGGGGCAGATATAATAAATTGTCTAGCAATGATGACGTTCTCATAGTGGGCCAATCTCAGTTCCAAATGCTTTAGGTATATTATCTTATTTAATCTCCCAACAATCATGTAAGACAGGATTATTATTATTGCTGTCTTACAGATGAGGATCCCACAGATCAGAGAGGTTAAGAATATTCCCCCAGGTCACACAGCTAGGTAGAGGCAGAGTCCCTTGGATTTGGACCAAGTCTGCCCGACTCCCTGGGCCCTCTCCCAGCCATTAGAGGACACTGATATTCAGAACAAAGGATGCCTCTCGGCTTGTAGCAGGAGGACTGCATGTGTTCTCCATTCTCCCCACCTCACTCAGGCACAGATAGAAAGCCCAGAACCTTTCATGAAGACACCACTTGCTTTGGCTGCAGGCTTGTTTGGCCTTGGAGGAGCAGGCTGCCAACAGTGGGACCAACCTTGAGTGGGGGCTTCAGTTCAGGGAAAGTTCTGGGCTGAGGGTCTGGGGAAGGGGGCCTCTTGGGCCCCAGCAGGACCCACGGATAGATTTCAGAAACCTCAGGCTTGGTGCAGAATCTATGTGCATTTGCAAAAAGCTACACCCAGGCATCCTGCCTGGCTTTGTGACCAGCATGTCATTACTTTGCACCTTCACAGTGGATGGGAGCTAGAACTCTTTTTGCAAATAATCAGGTCACCTCCCCCTGCCCTCCGTCTGTTCTGAGTGCCTGTCTCTATCCTGGGTGTGTTTAGGTCCAGTAGCAACCCTAATAATACAAAGGTTGTGGTGGCTGCTCTCTTGACCCTGTCATTAAAACCAAAACCAGCCCTGGCTGGTGTGGCTCAGTTGGTTGGAGCGCCGCCCCATGCACCGAAAGGCTGCAGGTTTGATTCCCGGTTGGGGCATATGCCCACGGTGTGGGCTTCATCCCTGGTGGGGGTGCGTGTGGTAGGCAGCTGACCGAGTTTCTTTCTCTCATCATGTTTCTTTCTCTCTCTGTCCCTCTCCCTTCCCCTCTCTCTAAAACAAAACAGTACGCCCTTCCGGGTGTGGCTCAGCGGTTGAGCGTAGACCTAGGATCCAGGCGACCGGGGTTCGATTCCCGGTCAGGGCACATGCCCAGGTTGCGGGCTCGATCAGTGACTCATCATTGATGTTTCTATCTCTCTCTCTCCCTCTCCTTTCCTTTCTCTGAAATCAATAAAGATATATTTTAAAAAATAAATAAATAATAAATAAAACAAAACAAAACAAAACCAAAACCAAAACGCTGGGTCATAAAGCACAGTAGTCTCAGCAATTTTTTAATTGTGGAATTCTGAATGGACTTTATTTTCTCTTCCTCTTTTTGGGAGGGGTATTATGGGGTGTTGATTGGCTGGGGCCTGGTGGGGGATCTGAGCTGCAGTATTGTTTGTTTACCTGCCTTTTTCCCTCCTTGACCATGATCGTCTGAGAGTAGCCGCAGCCCTGGGTAGTCATCTTCACGGGTCTGTTGGCTAACCCAGCCCTGGTACTTTGCTGAAGCGGGCGGCTGCCAGAACTGCTTTGTTTTCAAGGAAACAAGTCATGCTTAGTCTACAGCCCTTACCCTGTTAGGTGTGAAACAGTCTGACATGGTGGGACGTGGAAGGTTTGTCCCCAGGAAAAGGACACTGGAGGAAGAGACCAGCAGAAGGCGTCTGCAGAAATTAAAGAGGAGTCCGGATCTGGGTTACTTTGGAGTAAGGTGCTTCACCTCTCGAAGCCTCGGTTTCCTTGTCTGTAAAGTTGGGAGAATAAAGCACCAGCTTCATAGGTTGCTGTGAGGAGGAAATAGGAGAAGTCTGTGATTAGCAGAGAGCCTAGGATCACAGTACTGCACTCAGTACAAGTTAGCTAATATTATTAGTTATTATTATCGGGGTTTGTTACTTCCTGTGGCTGCCTGGAGTGGTGGTTTCTGAATTTTAATGTGTAAAGGCAACATTCTGGTTTTATACAGACCGTAAGTGTCAGTGCCTCCACTGGAGCTCTTTGCAAGCATCTGAGAGGAGTGGTGGCTACCATAAGTAAGAAAGAGATAGGAAGTCAGGAAGACTGCAGGAGCAGGTCTCAGAAAGGACAGGAACCAGAGGGCACCGGCCAGGTGGCCCTGCCTCTGCCCGTTTCTTAAGCTCTGTGTGCATCCATTTCCTCAGCTGCTGCCCAGGGAGCACAGCTCCCCCCTCCCTGGGATGGTGCAAAGCACTTAGCACAGAGGAAGTAAGCTCTTGTAAGACATAAAAGCAATTGTTATTATTTATTATTCCTCAGGACTCCCTTTTCCTGGTAAGGGAGCCCCAACCACCACTTGCTGTTCTGTTCAAGATGGAGTCATTGATGGATTCATTCATTTACTAAGCACTTGCCGTGTGCCAGGCATTCTAGATGCTGGAGATGCAAAAGAGACAAAAACCCCTGCTCTCCCGAAGCTTCCGCCTAGTGCAGGCCAGGCAGTGAGGATGGTCCCTGAAGGAGCAGGGACTAGACGGCGACATGCAGGCAGAACTGCCCGGCACCACTGTGTTCAAGACGCAGGGTGCTTAGCGCAGGGC